GGCAAGTTCATAATTCCACATGAGAGTGCAATTGTTGCCAAATTTGCTCTTTGGAATGACTTTGGTCGAAACTTGTTGATATGATTTCTTAGCTTCTTCTGGATTTATTGGTGGCTTGAATGTTTTGCCTGATGACGTCTTTTGAAGCGAAACATTGGCCATCGGCTGAAGACTTGGGATTGAACTCGTTAATGAAGGTGAAAGTGGATGCTGATTAGCATGGCTTTCTTCACCTGTTGAAGGAGGATGAGCTGAGCTGAGTTTTGGAATGGAACTTCCTTGCTGATTTGTTGGTATAGGAGGAATGGCACCGAATTTAGAAACTCCTTGTTGTTGTTGATTTGTGGGAACAGAAAAAGTGCTGAATTTTGGAATGGATTCAGAAGAAATATTACCATTGTTGTCGCTGCTGCCTTTTGGTGGTGAATAAGAAACAAGTTCGGAAGGTGATCCATATTGTTGTTGCTGTTTGGATTGTTGGATCTTAGAGGCAGAAGGAGGGATGACTGGTACTAACGACGAGTCTTTTGGCATTGTCTTGATGCCTTCATTCGAGACACGTGACAAGACTGAAGATGCATTATTCAAACCTTCTGAAGGATTTGATGAGAAACGTCTCTTCCTGTTTGTTACAGTAGCTGGAGCTATGTTGTTAAATGAGATACGGTTAGCATTGCCTGAAATCCTGGTTGGACTATTTCGATTGATTCCAGGAAGAGACTTGGTTGGACTTGGAGGAGGAGAATGTTGTTGTTGTTGTTGTTTTTGCTTTTGATTATCTATAACAATTGATTTGTCAAGGATTTCTTCATCTTGCTTACTTGATTCACCTCCAATAGAATCGAGGAAAAGAGAAGAGCTTGAGGCACATGATTTAATGATGCTCCTTCTAACTCTACTTCTTCTCGTTGGACTTCTGGAACTTTTTGGATTGGTTTCGGAAATTGGTCCTTCAATGAGCTGTCTTATGTCCTGGCTCTTACTTTCAGATAATTTGCCTTTTGAGTCATTATTTAAATTTGTTTTAATATTCAAATTTAAATTCAAATTTAAATTCAAATTTACAAGTCTACTATTTGTGCTGCTTCCTTGATTGACATCGTAGGTACCTCCTAAAAGTGGGGAGGGAGAAAAACTGGGAACTTTTTCTGCGTTTGCAGAATTATCTTCTGGGTTCTGTACAAGTGGAGAAGCGGAGAAGCCTTGATCAGAATTATTGAAACTAGGAATACTTGAACTATTTGTTGAAGTAGGCGTTTCATTTTGTGGCTGTTGTTGCTGCCTCTTTTTAGAGTCTGGACTGAGCAATTTGGGAGAGGATGGCTTGGCATTACTTGAATTGGTAGGTTCGACGCTTACTGTTTCGAGTTCTGGAGGTTTTTGTGGCGCATGAGTTTTAATATTCATCTGGGCAATGAAGTTAGGGTTTGATGTTTCAGAAACAAGAACATTTCCGTTTGCGGTTGCAATTGCAATTGATTCATTTGCATAAGAAAATGATAAAGGCTTTGAATCGAGGAGTTTTGCACGACGAGTGACAAATAATTTTGAAGAGAATTTAACTTCAATCATTGTTAGCCACATTTGAGACGTTATAAAAACTAAATTATCTCCCATCATATCGGAAACTAAGATTTCACTTACATTGGCGTACTTTGGTGATGTAATAAGCTTTGCTTCTGATAATCGTTTATTTTGATTTGTTAAAAATTTCCAAAGTTCAACTGAATCATCACGAACAGTTAACGCAATATTGCCTGAGTCATGAAGTATATGCAACTTTCTGATACCTGGAAGCATTAACAGTGGGGCAGTACAACAATCTGATATTGAGTATAGCAAAGAGTTCGAAGTTGTAACTAAAATTAAAAATTGCGTTGATGTAGGGTAAAATTTGATTTCATGGATTGAATCTGTTTTATTTAATAATGTAACAACGTTAGGTGAAGCTTCTGGAGGCTTTCCTTCTTGATACTTATTGATATTTTGAATTGTTGCAATAGAACCTTTCTCAGATGCAATTGCGCAAACTTCACCAAATTGAGGTTCGATACATATGTAGTCGATTTGAAAATCAAAAAATAATTCCCAAACAACTCTGCACTTAACAATTTGCCCAATGGTTATTTCAAAACGCAGTAATCTTCCATTCTTCGTTCCAACAAAGAAACATGATGAAGAAAATTGAGACCATGTAATAGAAGTAACATAATCATTTTCTCTTCTAGAATTCGCTGCACTTTGAGATATAGTAGTTGGTGTTGGATATTGGATGGCAGAAATTGGATCATTCGCTGAATGCTCGTTTAAATTAATATTTGATCGGAAAATTGCTATTCTACTTCGGCAATCATAAACTTCTAATCGTCCAGAAAGCGAAGAAAGAACAAAAACAGGCACTGTGGTATTCATTGTTTTTGATGCATCATACCATTCTAATGCAGTAATTTGATGCTGAAATGGTGACCACATTAGAAGTGGGGTGAAATGCCCAAATTCTTCAACATAGATTGAAACGTTGTTATTCATAGCATGGGCAACAAGGCCATATTTACTACATTTAAGAAGATGGGTATTTTTCTTTGGTGAAGGAAATGGCCATGTCTTAAATGAGAAGCTCATTTTTTTATTGTATTCAATCCAACGTTAAACCAACTTTTTAATAGAAATTGTATTTTTTATGAACAGTTGTACGAAAAGAATCTTTCAATTTTTCTGAAAAAAAATAAAAATTTCAATATTTGAAAGAGCATTATATCAATTTTTCCAGAAATGTAATAAATTAATCATAATTGCTATTTCTAATAAATATTGTAATGGCCAATTCTTTCTATAATTATATCTTTAAAATTGGTAATAATTGAAATTATTTTGAATAATGTATCCAAAAATATGCTGTATCCTCAAATTCATATCAAATTAAAGTTTAAAAATGTGCCAATTTTATAGTTTATGATATTAAATGGAAAATATTTTTTTTTTGGTGGGATTTCATATTGAACGATTTGCTTTATCAAATATAGATTTTATGAACAATCTTATATGAATAAAATTGCTGTAAACAAATCATAAAATGAGAATATTCAAGCAAACTGCACTTTTGGAATAATATAAAAGTAAATTTCAATTTCGATGCTTCATTGAAAGATTTGAAAGGATTAATTGAATCGATCTAATACATTTTAATGGATTTTTCAAGTATCCAAGTTCCAGAAAAAAACAATGATGTGGTAATTGGTTGTAATTTATCAGGAATTATTTGCCATATTCAAAATTCTGCAGTTCCAGTCTTAAATAAACCATATTATTTTACATCACCTAAGCCAATTCTTCCACTTTCAGAACATATGGCTGAACCAGGAAGCAATTATTTAAAAAGCCTCCCTTTTACACTATTATGTGATATCTTTCATGAAAAAGTTTGCCATTACGAAGGACCTCCAGCAGTATGCCCTAAATGCGGTGCTTATTTACCATTAGAATCATTTCCTAGCGGAACTGGTTTATGCCCATTTTGTAATAATTTAAATATGCCAGATTCATTCGTTTCTTTCCCAAATAACGTTGAACAACCTAAGTTTTTGTTTTTATTAATTGGAAATGCCACCGATTATTTTTATGATTCAATTAGTTCTTTCCCATATCCTTTAATTTTAATGACATATAACGATCATTTTATAATGTGCCAATATAAAAACGAGCGATATAGCCAAATTCATTTACTTGAAAGCGAAATACCTCCAAATTCATTTTCCCATTTCCCATCTGATAAGCCAATTCCTCATTTTGAAGATTCGACAATGTACAAAATTGATTTTAACCAAGTATTTACTGAATTGAAAAATGCTCTTCCAAATTCATCATCAAATTCTCCATTAAATATTGTTGTTTTTGGAAACGTTCCTCATAGCTGTTTAGATGAATCGTTCGAATTCATTCCAAATACTACTTTATCAATATGCATGACAAATACATTTATTTGTGATTGCTGTAAAGTCTGCAATAAAACAGGCGGCCTTTTCCTTCCTCATACACAAACCTTTTCTATCCAAAATTTGACTCAAATAATTAGTACTTCAATTCGTCGCGGAACGGAACCTGCTGAAGAAGATAAACCTCTTTCTTTGATTTTCCCTGGCTTTTTCCTTATTAATAATAAGCTTCCATCAGAATCCTTTACCAATATTAACCCTATACAAATTATTATTCAAGCTAGTCAACGAACTTATTGCTTTTCTACGACTTATACAACTCAAGTTGGTTTAAAACCGTTTCTTTATTCAGCAAGTATGCCCAACATGCTAGTTTCACTTTCAGAAGCCAATTTAAACTTTTCTGAAATTCTTATTCATTACTCAAAATCACTTTCTGATGGATTACTAGTTCCAAATTCGTTAAAATATACTCTTTTATTTCCAAAAATTCATCCATCACGAAGTTTATATCACGTTTTAACTAATCGACCTTTTGTTTTACAACTTGAACCTGTTTTTCATCCAATTGACTTTATTAGTGAATCTGTTTGCACTACAATTTCAATTATTTTAATTTTATATGAAAATACAATATATGTTTATGTAGGAAGCGATGTTAAAAAAGAAAAATGGGAAAATGTTATTGGCGCTTCACCAATGTCACACATGATTTCTTTTGAAATTGTTAATGTTGCTGACACCTTTCAATCTGATTTATGGAAAGCAATTAGAGCTATTAGAGCAATTTATTATCCTTATCTAATTCCTGTTATTGTTGTACCAAATGAAAGTGGAAGAAGAGTCCAATTAATGCAAATACTCGATGTTGACTATACAAAAGGTAGCAACAATGTATTTAAAATGTATGGCGATATAGCAAGAAAAGCCATCTTACAGAAATAATATTTTTATTATATAATCTATCGGAGAAATTTATAAATAATAATATATATATTTTATTTAAAACATTATAATGCGCTATTGTTTTTTTACCTTACATATATGCAATATATAGAATAAATAGAAGGGCAAGTGGTATAAAGGTTAGCATAATTGACTGTGACTCAATTGGTCCGTGTTCGATTCACGGCTTGCCCATTTTTTGATTTTTTTTTCCTTTCATCAAAGAAAAAATCATCCAACCAAATCATATTGAGAAGATGAGCCTTTAAATATAATGTATATTTAGAATCGTTTTTTGCATTTATTTCCCAATATGAAATCATATCATGAATGATTTGAAAATTCAATATAAAATTTACATTATTTTTTTTGTAATATTATACATTTACTTTAGTTTAAATAACAATTAAATACATATCTTATTATAAAATTCGGAGTTATTCTTGAAATATATTTCGTAAACTGAGAATAACATTACTAATTGTCATCTGTTTCTATGAGGAAATATAATTACATTTTTAAAAATTGCCGAAATCAGATCTACATGATGATCCTCCTAAACTCCAATCGTCATATTCATCGCGAGATCTGTTAAATGTTTGTGTAGGAGTAACCACTAGCTCCGGAGGCAATTCTCTTGGCGATTTTTCAAACGAATAAGGATATTTTTCAAATTCTTCTAGCACTTCCTCTTTCTGCTTTTTTATTTTCTGAGAGGCATTGGAACGATAATACCGCTTTGGACCAACAAGCTCCTGAGCTGGTAAAATATAATTTTTGATAGGAAAAGGAGCAGGTCTAATTACCATCTTTGGCGCATTTTCTTGAGCAGTTTTTGGCCTTCTTCTTGCAGATGCTGACCTTGTTCTTGCAATCGTTGTATGCGGCCTTGTGTTACTATTTCTATGAACAATATTTAAAGTATCTTTAACGTTTTGATCAATTTTTCGAAATTCATTATTAACATCTTGAAGTTTTTGGCGATTGGCAAATGCCTTTGTACTATATCCTTCGCATGACTTATCCATGGAATTCAAAAAGCTCATTATTTTCTTTTGATTCATTCCGAATAATTGAATAAAATTTTATTTAGGATTTTAAACGTTATTTGATTTGAAAAGATAAATGTTCGCTCATATTTTACGAGAATTCAAATCCAGAAAAATTAAACGTACATTTTTTTTTTAAATTTATATGTTTATACAACATCTTAATAACAAATAAGTTTTATTTCATTCTGATTTAATCGCATTATCATTTTTGAAAAGGTCATCACTGTCATTAATATTATCATTGACATTTGTAAATTGATTACTTTCAAACTCTTTTAGAATCTTCTTTAATTTTTCACATTTTTCTTTTTTGCGTTTGATTGCTCGATCGTAATCCAAGTATATTTGATAATAGCTTTCTGGTTTGATTGAAAAATATATGTGAAGTCCACCATCTTTATCAAGATAGTTTCCATCAAAAAGAGTTTCAAGTAATGCAGCCTTATTCCATCCCCATGAATCAGTTTCTGCAAATTGAGAAGAATACTCTCTTTGAATATTAGCTCGGGGATCTGTTAAGTTTTGTATAACAATTTTATAAGAGTAAGTAGATGGAGTTTTGGGACCACGAAGAAGTTCAAGAAAAACAGATAAATGAGTTCCTTCGCCGTTTAAATTTCCGTTTGGATAAATTTTAACTCTCCAAGTATTCCCGTTTATATTAACTTTGAGAGGATAATAAAAATGAATAGCATCATCTGGTAAATTTTTAAATTGCTCGTTTTTCTCTTTGAATTTGGGAATGTAAACAGGAAAATTATTGAATTGAACGATAAGATCATTAAATTCAGGAGCATGATTTAGTACTTCATAATTTGGTATACCTCTTTTTATTTCATCGAATTTTTGTATTTGACGTTTGTAAAATTTAGTGCTGACTGGTAACTTCCCATTAACCTGTTCTTGTATTGTATTAATTTCTTCTTTAATTTTTTGCCTTACCCTCAATAAGTTTTCAAGAGCTTTGTCTATTAGCGATTCATAATCATTAAATTCTTCTTCAGTCATTTTTTTGATTTCAGCAAACTTTTTATTCATATCTATTAAAACGGATTCTTTGGCCAAATATAACTCTTTGTTTCGTTCTTGAATCTCTAATAAATTATTCTCTACAACTGTCATTTTTGGGAGTACTTTGAGTAATTCGCTTTGAATTTGAGTTTTAAGAACTTTGAGCATTTCTGAAAATTTCATAATTGAATGTGATCGATGTTTTGTGCTTTTTTGCTTGAGTTCTTCAAATAAGCAATCAGGACATAAAAAGCAATTACATGTTTTACAGTAAAATTCTAAAGTTTTGTGATGTTTAGGACAGTCTTGAACTGAAATCCGAAGAAACTTTTTGATATTATCGGCCCATTTAATAGGAATTCCATTTTTTGTTGTCATTTCTTGTCTACAATATGGACATGCCGAACCCGAATTAGATGAAACCCAGTTTTGTAAGCATTTTGAACAAACAATTTGCCCACAACATGGAATAACAACGGGATTTGTTGCTAAGTCAAGGCATATGAAACAAGTAAAATGCTCTTTAAGTTCTTCACGCAACTTTGTTAAAGTATCTTGACAAATTATTGAGCTGTTTTGTTGAGAATCTGTTTTTGTATCTTCTTTGTTTTCATTCATTAAAATTTTATATTTAAAACGTCCACTTTTCGAATTCATAGATAAAAACAAAGGCAAAAATTTAGCTATTACGATCAATAATTCTTAAAGTATTCAAATTTAAATAATTTCGTTATTTTAAAAATTTTTAGTTTTAAAATAGTTTTCATTAATGACTGAGAGATTTTTACGCGCACGAACAAGATTATCTCAACAAGAAAACGTATTACATGAAACTCGAATGCGTAATAAAAAGCTCGGCCAAAATTTACCAGATGAAATTATTAAAGTACCTCAAATCGGAGAATGGGAACTCAAACAGGGTAATCAACAATCTCGTATGTCATATGAAGCTTCAAAAAAAACAGTTACCACGACAAAACAAACTACTCGTATTCAATCTCGTCCGGTTCAACCTTTTCCTCCCGATATACAATTATCAGAAGAACAAAAGCAAAGAATAAAAAATCCAGAGCAAAAAATTCTTCCCCGTGAAAAAGCGAAACCTATTTCAGAAGCACCTTTTCCTTTTAAATCCTCATTAAAACAATTTCGCAAAAGCTCACCACAAAAACAAACAAATACTACCATCAAATTTCCAACATCTACAACAAATATTGATTCAATTTTAACCTCGAAGTATCGAATCCCTAAACCATTACCGCCATTAAAAGATTCAGAACAAGATGACAATAAAAACGATGAAAACAAAAATGTTGCTCCTTTTCTACCTCTAGAACTTTTTGATGATACCACTTATGAAGAATTTTCTCTTGAATATCTTCTTAAGCATCCCAAAGCATGGTCAAAGTATAAAAGTGACATTTCAAATGATGATATTGAGTCAACATGGCGTCCATGTACTGTTATTGATTATGATCCTGTTACTTTTTTCTTTACAATTGAATGGAATGACGATCATAAAAAGAAAAAAGTGGCACGTTTTAATTTACGGTTTGACTGTGAAAATCCAGACAAATTTGCCGAACGAATAGAAGCAGCAAAACGAGGATCACTTCGTTATGAGATGCAATTTCGTTTTGACTCACGTGTCCAATCAATGCCAACTGAAGATCTTCCTGAATTAGCACCGCAAAATTTAGAGAGAATTGTAATGATGATGAACATACCACGCGATGTTCGTTATGAGCGACTTGTTAATGATTTAATAGAAGATGTTTGTTGTAATTTTAAATTTATGAATAATAAATTTGAGTTTGAATTTGAATTAGAACATAATTCATTGGTTCCAAATCGAGAAGATTTTCTTCCTTTACTTCAAAGAAAATCGAAGCCTGTTAAACATGAAATCGACTTTAAATCGAGAGGCGCTTTTAATAAAAATCTCGAAATAATTTCTAGAAAACATTTGCAGGCTTATCCTAATGTTTTGGAAGGTTTACAAATTATTTGGTCAATCTTTATGAATAGTGAAAGTATGAAGTTTTTGAATGGTTCATTTGATGAAGTTTTAGAACTTGAAGATTTCATTCAAAGACAAAAAGAAATCCTTGAATTAACAACTAAAAAATTTAAAGCATCAATCCAAGAAACTCTTGAAAGTGCCATTTCTTCAACTAATCGTACAAATGAAGAAGGAGTCCCTTTAATAACTGATCCTTTAAGTGAAGAACGACTTAAATTTAAAACAATGGTAATTTTAACAATAAGAATGCTTCATACTGTAATGCTAGATATAGTTGGAAATTCATTGGATAAGTATTTGTCGTTATTTAGAGATCGTCTTGAAGACGATACAATTCCGCCTCAATTTTCGGTTTTTTTGAAATTTGGGGAAAAAAGTCAACTAATTCCATCTGTTCAAGAATTCAAAAAGTCGATCATGGCGATTCTTGATCTTCTTGAAGAGAAAGTTATTGACCTTCCAATCATAACTATTCCATTGTATGATGTTAATGTTAATTGTGTTTCATTTTATGATTGTCGAGTTATCATCCAAAATGCAAAGATTGATTTAGAAGCTATTCTTGACAAGATCATTGAAAAAGTGGATGATATCAACAATAGTTATAAAACTCTTAGTGAATCTTTACGTTTAAATTTAAATACATTTGCTCAGGAATTTGATCCTAAAGGACAAAGAACTCTTGATGAATATCGACAAAAAATTAATGAGTTTGAAAAAGCTCATGTAATTGTTTCAACTCAACTTGTTAACCTTTATCATACAACTATATTTAACATTGATTGTGCAGAATTTAAAACAAAAGCATCTCAACATATCAATAAATTAATTACTTGCATTTTGAATAGAATGAAAGAATTTGCTGTTTCAGACATTCATGATTTATTAAATGATTTCCAAAAAGTGAAAGAAAGAGTTAAAACTAACATTGAAACACCAGAACAACTTTCTTCTTTACAAGACTTCATTCATCAAGTTTCACATAATACAAAGAAGAGAGAAATTAAGATTAAAACAGCAATGGAAAGATTTTCTTTCCTTGAAGAATTTCATTTTGAAATCTCTAATGATGAATGTCAAGAAAAATATCAATCATTACAAGTTCCTTA